CGATGCGGTCGAGGAATCGTGGAAAACGGTGAAAGAGGTGTTTTTTTGATGTTTTCTGAAAGACCCGGACTCACAGGATTCTGATGTCTCCCAAAAGATCTCCTGAAAGGAAAAATGGACGTGCCGATAAGTCGACTGAATAGACTGAATATACCAAAGCCAATGGTATATCTCCTCACCATCGACATACAAACCCAATCAAACCCACAATGTAGCATTATGTGGCTTTCTAAGGAGCAAACCCTGAGTTCTGAGTTTGTGCAGTGTTGTGGATCTGCTGCATCATTCTCATGGCCGGTGTCACTATGCTGATAGCTGATGAGCCAACTCGTGCTCTGGCGCACTGTGACAGTTCTCAATCTGCACGAAAGGTCACATGTCAAAGCAATCAGAATTTGTCTAGTCCAGTGGATGCAGTTTCGGCTCATTGAAGAACCACTTTAAAGATGAATCATACTGGCTCCAGGTCACCTCTGCCTTGCTGGCTTTCGAGATGCTTCATCTGCCCTCCTTGTCCCTCTCCTGGGTCGGAGTTTGGCTCACATCTCGAGCCCCACGTGCGAACAAGTCCCAATACTGCACACATTTGGGTTCAACAAGTGCGGAAGTCCAAGATCGGCCAAGACCAAGCACCGAACTGTAAGACTCGAACCCGACAGAAGTAGACCATTTCGCCGAAGAACCGGCACCAACCAAAGCGGAACTCCTCAACCTGAGCTTCCTTGCATAACATCCTCAACCTACGCCCCTCCTATCCCAACGAAATGACAAGTCTGACATGGTCCAATCGATGGACCTGCACCCGTCCTGGATGTCCAGAGGAAGAGCCCAAGACCAAGCCGAAGATGTCAGGACCCATCAGACGTCGTAAAAAAAAAACACACATGTTTTCTTCTTCTCTCTACAAACTGTTCTAAACGCAACAGATTGAAAAAGAAGCTTGGTTCAAGGGTGTTCGTTCAGAAGGGGATGTTTGCAGATCTACAGTCTCTCTTTAGCTCCAGGCAATATTATCAGTTTTTTGGTTAAGAGAGCCATTGCAGCCTTCAGTATCTTCTGTGCGCATTGGTTTTAGGCTGTCTCAAGCATTGTTGGTGCTGACTGGAACGCTGAGCCGGCGCGAGGCAAACATACAAGTAACAAAGAAAACTCTTTGGTTTCCACTTCACAGACTGCATTTAGTTCTTCGGGGATCTTCGGGGAACCTAGTTGCAATGGAACCCGTGACTTTCAAGTTGGCCAGGCCAATTTGGGTCCCAAGGTGGTTCGACCCCAACAAGTTCCCGTGAAGATCCCGAACAAGAAGCTCTCTTTGATCTATACCTCAGGCGCTTGCCTACCAGAACCCATTTGCACTGATCTGGAGATGCTTCACCAAATCGTTGTTTCAATGCCCCTTGGGAGACCAAAGAGAAGAACGGCTCGACTGGTCGTTTCAGCAGAATATCCAGGAGTTCTTCTTGGAAGTCGAACAAACAGCGGAGACCAAGGTTCAAAGTTAAAGGGTAAACACATTAACATCACTTGCAACTCCCTACTGCTAGGCCCCACCCAAAGAGGCATTCTTGCCTTCAAAACATGCATCTCACCAGGTCTGACTTGCATCACCTATGATGCTTGGAAATTCAATCCAATCATCCTGCGAGTTCCAAGTCCCTCTTTTCACCGCTGGATTTGCTACAGAACTTCGCAAAATCTGCCCATGGACTTCCATTCCTATCGGAAGACTGCTAAGCAATCCGACTGGCAAAAATATTGGGAGAATCTTTCCAAAGAAGCGTTTCCCCCAATGTGGTAATGGGCGGGGTCCATCTTCGAATTTGACAGATCCAATTCAAAGACAGATCCAAGTCGAAATTCCCGGTTCCAGTCTCCTGCGATCTATCTAAACCACCCAGCAATGTCCATCTCCACCACACCACGACTCAAAATGCACAACAAACCGCACAAAAGGAAGCGCCGCTTTTTGGAACAAACTTTGGGCTACTCTGCAGCCTGGCGAAGCAACAGCGGGGGAATGGGACTTGCAGCGGGTCTTCGATCTACAAACGTAAGTCTGTAAACAGCAGAACTGGCCAAGCAATGCCACACATTCAATTGGGCGAGGAGACTTAGTGTTTAGAACCTCGCGCTGTTTACACTGAACATGAAGTCGCCAGTTCACAAAGCATTCGTCTCTGTGGAACAATTCCTGGGCCCCCTTAGTGATGTGTACTGTGCGAGTATATGGCAAAATTCACCCGGCGGACCAGAAGCGACATATCAGTGTGAACCCACATACACCAGTTGAAGCCGATGCTACGGAAGAACATGCATTTAGAGGTCTTCTTCTTTACTTACAGGGGTGAAAGAACACAACCGTCCAACATCTATGTCTGACATCTGGCAAGTCCACACAGTAGTCCACATAGAGCCAGGGATACAACTCAAAACCGCAGGGAGGAAACGCTCGGTGGTGGCGGAGTTGGCCGTTTCTTTTTCCATTGGGCATCAACCATTGGGCGCGTTCGGCTGCTCAGCCCTGAGACTGGACATGAGTCTGAGTCGGCTGCGCAAAGGTCCGAAGTAAGAAGATCAGTACCATTTGGCAAGGAAGAGAGATCGTTTTTGATGTAGTATCGACTGAAGACTTCAATCAGTTCAGCAGGGCAGGGCTAAATTGGGGTGCCAGAATTGGGATAAATCATGGTGATGCCCAAAAGACAATCCTTGGACTTCACAGAAATAAGCACCCTTTTCTTTGCGGGTTCCGGGGTGTCGGTGGCAGTCATCACGGTCAAGCTGATCACTCCTGGTTTCACCCCCATAACCCACCATTGTTCCGAGCAGATCATAGCAGATCAGCATAGCTAGAGCCATAACAACGACTGCCGTGAGGGTCTGGGTCGTGTAAACCGATCACGACTGCCTTTCAGAAACATCTCATCCACAGGTATGGGTGGTGTAACCTTAGGACCCCTGGCTGACTCTTCAGCATGAACATAACAAACACCACGGTACTTCATGGTACTTCAACCTACCGTGGCTTTGGGATGGCTTTGGATGCTTGTCTTCAGCATGGCCTACTCCGTTTACTCCATTGCGCAGCTGACTGAACTTCATCGACGCTTTTGCTCGGACATGTGGGGCTGTCGGCCAATTGAGCCTATGCCCATTGGGCTGTCTGGTGAAAGACTTGGCAGAGTGCTGTTTCGTCTGGGTGCTGAAAGCATTCATCTTCTTTCAATTGGTCCACGTGAACCGGCTGACACTGACATCGCTGGACCAACCACGCTTTCGCTGACGCTTCGCTGGGCCGACCAGGCCGACGGTCCACTGGACCAGGGTCCGGTCGATGCACCGGAGACTCCCGACACGCGGCTCCCGACTGATGGTTCGGATCGATGTGTCACATCCACCTTCTGGATGGAACTAAAACCATCCCGACTGATGGCTTGTTACCCAGAAGCAGTGGGCGCTCAGGTGTCACGTCACAACCCATCCCCCATCGCCCACTTGAAACGGTGATTTTGGATGGTTACTAGTAAGGCACCTGTTACTACTAGCTTTTTCAGGCATGTTTCAGCACCCATCGTCCAAGAACATGCCGCTGAAAAAAAAAGCAGCGAATGGTCTGGTCGCCCACGCTGCGGTCTTCGCAGCAAGGGGCAAAGGATCGGTTGTACGAAGCCGCTATAGCCGTTTTTCTGGTTTCTAAATGTGTTTTGTTTGATGGATAGGGCTCGAGAGTTGGAATGCCCGCCGAACAATCATGCGACTGTCGAGATTCCCGTTGAACACTAACTCGTTGAACCCAGCAACGTACGCAAAAGCACTTAAGACAGTTTTTCAAAGCAACACGCGTGCCCTCCTCGTCCACCCGCCTCTTCGCCAGACTGCGAAACAGAAGAAAGGTGATGTTTGCTACGAACCCAACAAACATGGGACAAATCCTCAAGGAATCGACATTTCTTGACAGTTCTTTGAGCAAAAAAAACTCCTAAAGGGTCACACAAAACACAAGAAGCTCCCGTGAAGATCCCGAACCAGAAGCTCCCTTTGATCCCTACAAACCCGGCGCTTGCCTACCAGAACCCGTTTGCACTGATCTGGAGATGCTTCACCCAATCGTTGTTTCTACGCTCCCCTTGGGAGACCAAGAAAAAGAAGAAAGGCTCGACTGTAGGCTCGACTGGCCGTTTCAACAGAATATCCAGGATCTTCAAAAACCAACCTTGCAAAATGAGAGCATTCCTCTTTAGAAGTCGACCAGGCATGCCTCTTCGTAGATGAAACGCACAGCTATCTGCATGCCATGGGATACCCTGCTTCATGCCTCTTTCTTGGGCATGAAAGCAAGATTCGACTGGGTCACTTTCGCGTCTCGCTTTGGCTGGAGAACCCAAGCTCCCATGTTCGCCTTGATGACATGGTAGTTCTTAGAACCAAGTGCATGCTGATGCTCCCACCCACCTTCAGCCCCACGGTGGGTCCACCGTAAAGAGACATCGGTTTCTCTCGCCTCCGAACACGCCGAAAACGCCGGGGTTTCTCTCTGACCATCTGCACCATCTCCCCCATCTCCGACGTTTAGGCCATCTGTGTTTGAGAAAGGTCAGACCAGCCCAAGGTTCCAGTCTCCATCCAACCCGGTCTATATCCGAACAAACACTCTATTCGTTGGGGATCTGTGGGGTGATGTAGCCGGCTTCATCTTCCCAAGACCAATGACCGAGGTTCTTTGTTTTCCTCAGTGTCCTCCCTCCTTCCAGTCTGTTTGTTGTCCGAGTGGACAGTGGTTTTCCATCGAATTCGTAGAACCCCTTGACGATGTTGACTCCCCCTCCGGCACCTCTGGAACACCATCTTCCCAAGCAACAGGAGCCCCGTTCGTAGCGTCCTTGTTCCTAGTATCTCCACTTCCATGTTTGCTTTAGAGATGTTTAGACAAAAGAATCACTAGTTCATGCAACTTCCTCACATTCACAGGTTCTCCTTGGTCAGAACCCCTCACAAACCCCTCAGAGGCCCCATCGTCGGGCCAGGGCATTGACAGCGGCCTCAGATCGTTCTCGAATGTTCCCGGACTGCATCATTCTCAACACCTTCTAACATCCTAAAGGATCCAAGGAGGAACGTAGCATTTCATCTGTATTGTATTGTGTATTCCTCTTCCAGAACTTCTAGTCTACTTGATGATGTTGATATTTGGTATTGGTATAAGTATATATGTTGAAGCAACACATGTCCATGATCTTCAGCTCTTTAGGTCACATTCTTGAAGCTAAACAGAGCCATTCTGGAAGAGCACAGTTTTTGGTGGGCACTGTCATAATATGTCATGAGTCATAAATGGTCATAAATTGTCATCTGAATGAGCTCCATTGGATTTGTGTCTTTGACTCTCCTGGCGGATACAAACGAAAGCTGAAATAGTCCTTCACGGCACGAAAGATGACACTGATGGTCGAGGAATTGGGTCGGATCTGCGATCTTCACTGCGCTGGTCTGTGATCGACCCGCCTGCAGTGGCACCAGAACCGCAAGCCCAAGACGGAACCAAGACCAGCCAGTGAATTGTAGGCAAACACTCCAACGTGGCTCTCCCCAACACACCAATTATAGACAATTGCAAAGCAACCCAATGAAGCATAGCCGTCCAAACTAGCCGTCCATGCTTGGTGAGGCATCGCGGACCGCACTGGCAAAACACCTCGAGCTTTGGGTGATCAGACGCCCGCGGTGCACGAAAACCGAAACCGTCGGACCGCACCCGGAAGCACCCGGTCGGTCGGTGCAAGCGATCGGTCCAAGCGGCATTCTTGTCTCCTGCTGCGCGCACCTCATCCTCCAAGGGCGCCAAAGCACCTTCGGCGTTTCCGTTGGACTCGAAGAAGCCGCCCACGGCGCCTCGGAGGAAGGGCATGGCCCCACGCTTCCGGAAGACAAGGCGTCGATCGACCTCTCCAAATGGTGCGGAGGATCGTGTACCAAATCGGTGGGGTTCGGGCATTGAAAAGTGGCAACAAGTGTTCTCCTGTTTACTTCACTCAGCCGTATGGTCTAGCCAGCAGCCTACAATGTTAAACAAACACAAATGACACCGGTGGCCGCCAGGTGGCTGCGACACCGCCAGGTGGCTGCCAGGTTTTGGGATCTCGAGGGTACGAATCCCATGTCATGCCACCAGCAATCACCCCGTTTTTGGCTGGATGTTAAAGGTGATACATGATGGTACATCAATTCCATCACGCGGTTGGAATTCGTTTATATAGAATCTTTTGTCATCTTTTCTTTCAACATGCGAAGAGCAAAAAGGAAGGCTGGAATCACCCACTTTCATGGATGGTCCCCATCGCCCCGGTAAGTCGGGTCGGAACCCCGCCGCTTCCGCGGCCCAGGCACCGCCCTGGCCATTCACATACTCCGCGCGGAGCGCTTCCAAGAAGTTCTGGGCCACCTCCTCCTCCACCGGACCTCGCTTCGTGCTCGAAGAGAAGAAGGTTCGGATGGCAAGGTTTGATCTGATGGACTTCCAAAAGATTCTAAAAGGAACTCCTCTGGAAGAGGACATGGGAGCTATGGGAGCTGGGCAGGTTCTGGCCACGAAGATTTGGATCCAGATGAGACGACCACAAGTCGTGACCACTTGGCTGATGGAGGCTCATGCTTGTTGATGCGTGACACAGCTGCCCAGCTGCCCACTTGGTGCAGCACCCCAAAACCAGGCACCAAAGCAACAAATGTCAATCTGTTCTGGTCTCAAAGCAGCAAAGAGGGAATGATTCTAGGAGCTTTCGCTGTTTCTTAACCCTGGCAAGTACCACAAACACAAAGCAGGCAGTAACCTGCTGGCTATAGAAACAAGACTCGACCCATGCCACCAGCTCCATCGAACCGAAAGACTGCAAAACACAGTTCGAGACTGCGTTCACATGCACCACTGCATCTCATTGCATTCTTCATTCTAGAATGCTTTTTCGGTAATGAAAAAACTGTCTCTTTTTACCACATCCGGAAAACGCGCCAATACGACACACATAGGTGGCTTCCGAACAGCGTGACATGCAGCAGTCTCAACAGTAGTCTTTATAATTTAGGTAATCTCAGACTTTTTTGTAAGTCTTTGAAGCGCTTCCCAACTCTTTCCTTGGAGCCAAGACTGAACATCGTGGATCTAAAACAAGCTCTTTCAGCCGCCAGTCATTCGCCCAGCGGCCACTGTAGCCTTTCGGGGCTGGTGCTTCCACTTGGTTGCTGGCTGGTGCTTCCACGGGGTTGCCCACCACATTTCCTCGCAGCGCGTTCGCGCGTTCGAGCTCGGGTGTGGGCGGGGGGGGCGTGGATTCGCGTTTCGGACGTGGATTCGCGTTTCTCACTTCGTGAATGTCGGACGTCCGTGTCCCAAAACTCTCTCAAGATTCACATGTACATGGCGAATCGGCGACTACAATCTGTGGTTTACCCTTGTTTTTGTCTGGACATGCACAGGCGAGTGGAGTAGCACCTCTGTTGATCAAATCGTCCTGGAGATCCACATGTTCAGATTTGTTTGGTAGATGTGCTCCTTTCTTTTAGGGAAGTTCTTGGAAACTCTGGAAACGCGCCTCCTCGGTCGACATTTCAATGTCTTAGAGCTAATTTCCAACCCAGGTGACAGCACCTTGTCATGTCCAGTCTGACAGACCCTGCATGAAACCTTCCTCTCAGGCTTGCAGGTGTAGTGGAAGCAACCTTCCTGATTTTGTGCATCCTTCTTCCGAAAGTTGAATACAAATCCCCAAATCTACTAACACAGCTTGTCTTCAAGTCGTTTCCCTGGCTCTCACTATATTATCTGTATAATTAAAATTACATATAAAGGCAAACATATCACATCAAATATATTCTAAACAGCACTGTCGCTGGCACCTTCGCGAATGTGACGAAAGCCAAAGAAGCAAGTTGCACCCCACATCAGCATCATCTAGACAAAGCCACAGGCACACACACAACACTTTTTCCAGGATGCATTTCTAGTTCCACTAGGGTGTGTGTGTGTGTGTGTGTGCCATCTTTGTGTCACCAAGGAACAGCATCTGGGTGTTAAAAACAGCGACGGAATGGTGAAAGAGACCAAAGACTGGGACGCATTCTGCAACCTCCGTGTAGCCCACAACTCTGTGTGGCTTTTGTTGGGAAGTCAACTGGTTCAGTTAGATGGCGGCGTCTACCGGAAGAGGTGTGGAACACTAAGTGGGTCCGAAAGACTAAGTCGAGGTGATTGATGGAGACCTGGAGTCGCTTTGGACGATTTCGAAGGTTTTTCTTCAGATCCGAAATCATCTTCATTTTGCCTTGAGGTATGTCAAAGCGGGGGTCACCACTGGTCACCAGGAAAAACCCTTTTCCTTGTCTTTCTTGCACAGCACACGGGCGCGGAGCGAACCGCGGGGGGTCAGACCCCCCGCGAGAAGGTCTGAACCGTCTTTCCCGTGGTGAACCGTCCGTCGCAGAGCGGTCCTTCCACCAGTTGTCCACTTTGCTCGGAATCGTAGACCTTTCCGCCCTTCCTGCGAGAGCTTCGCGGCTTGTTTCGCGGCGCCCAAGCGAAGCGAAGCGGCTAGTAACGCGTTTGGGCGAGCTGCTTGGGCGCGGAACGGAACGGAACGATGAAGAAGAGCGATCTGCCGTGCTTCGGAACGGCGACGGTTCGAAGGAAGCAGGACCCCGATGGGATGGGCTGGGAAAAGCTAAAAAGTGATAGGCACAGTTCAGCGTTTTTTTTCGATGGTTTTCTGGATGGAAGATCACTTGGAAAAGAGTATGTATGGATGATGGCCTTACTCTCAGGGTGCAAAGAGTATGTCGAACCAGGCGACTCGACGATCCTTCGCTTCGCAAGACATCCGGGCGATCCCTGCCCGGGGTGCCAGGTTGTGGGGATCCGGAGCGCCTGGCACCCCACTTGGAAAAGAGTGGAGCAGGTGGCAATTCTAGTCTATGGCCACCTGGAGATTGATGGAGATGGCACCAAATTGGGACATTCCTATTATGACATTCTCCATGTGAAGGCGCATCGAAAAACACATCCACCATCTTCTTCGGATGTTGATCGTGCAAAACATCTGCTGAGATGCTCGCACTGGGGATCTTGCCCGAACCTCTACACCTTTTCTTTCAACGTTTGGATGCTTCGTCAAGCCGAACCCGATCCGATCCACTCGTTATTTCAAGGGCACGAGCCATTCCGGTGAGTTCTTTCTGGTCTTTTCGTCTTCAAAGCCCAGAAACCGTGTGTGTCTCCCACGAAGGCGGTGAAGGAAAAGAGGTGCGGATAAATGGAGTTTCATGGAGTTTTCTGATTCCTATGAGGTGAAATTCTCTGCTACCTGATGTTTGTAATATACAATTGTCATGCTACAATCCAATCGGGCCATTCTCTCGATCTCCATCATCACATATCTCTCGTTCCAGGTGCCCCGGGCTTTGCAAAGAAGACCTTCCAAACGATGAAGGCCACCATGACAATGATCTCAGCAGTGCATCGAGATCGAGGCCAGAAAGAGCGAGAACAGTTTCAATCGAAGATGTGGCAGCTGCGAAGAGGTTCACACCGTGGCTGCCACCAGAAACTGGCACAGATCCTACTGCCAGATCCTTGGATCATCTTCAGCCCTTGGGACTTTGGGATCCACTTGAGGAACAGATCCTTTGACGATTCCATGTTCCAATGCATGGCGTTTTTTCAAAAAGGGATCCCTAATGGATTCAAATAGGGGGTCTTCCCCGGACATTCTCCAACCATTCGGCTTTGGTCCATTTCCATCTATTTCCCTTCCAGGGGGTCGTTGCCTGCCAGGTCTCCCTGCTTTAATACACAGAAGAATATGGATCCCTTGTCCCTCGGTGACTTGACTGTAAGCCTTGCCAGCGTCAGCTGGTCCAGACGAATTTTGCGGATTCTGTCTCACTCCGAACCCACGCGCAGCTGCTTCTTCCCAGGAATTTCAGTTATGAGCGGCTCGCCAACGTCACAGTCAATATCTTTTGATGGCCAAAGCTGAAGCCGTTGCCCCTCCATGAGCTTGGAGCAAAAACACGGCTGTACTGTCAAACACATGACCTTATGACCTTGTTTTCAATTGGTCAATGAAGAATTCCAGCTACATCATAATTACTTGTTCACGCTCTTCAGTCTTGAAGCTTAACATCCCTTCTAGCCGTGGCCGTCCTTCACCCCGGCTGTCGGTGCCTCCCCTCCCTTTCTCCACCCGTCGTGTCCACCGTGGGCATCCGAGCGAAGATGCAAAGCAAGGGGATGCCGACCATGGGGCGCATCACGACCCAAACCACTCCCACGACGCCCAGAGTGCAAGCCGTGGCCGGCAGGCAGGAGACCTCGGTGGTCGGCGACGCGCGCGAACACGTGGCGCGTAGGCGCGTGACGTGGCGTGGAACAAGTGGTTCAACAGTTGGGTTGGTGCTGCACTGGCGGGAACGATACGGGTCCCAGCATGGGTTCTTGATGCAGGTGAGCGAAGTGGAGGTGGGAGATCGTGGGAGAAGCGTATGAAACGCAGTTTCTAGCTTCCTAGTAGCATCAGGATACCAAGCAGGGAGAGGAACAAGCCGGAAGACATAGGCCCTGACTCATGAAAACCTCCATTACGCTGCCATTTGCCTAAATTCAGAGCTTTTTTGCTAAGAGCTGTACTTCCCAAAGAGTGAACACAATGAATACTTCCGGGGTGGAATTTCGGTGCGTTTAAGGGATTGCAGGGGGGAAAGCATGTTATTTACTGACGTCATGTCTTTGATTGTTCTTGTCCTTCTGCACATGAACATATGAATCATATGAAACTTGACCTGGTGGTAAGACCTGATCAAACCGGGTTTGCAGGAGAGGCCAAAGCTACACGCGACCTCAGTCGAAGACTATTAAAGAATGGTCCCACTAGGTGACTCGAAATGAACATGCTTTACGTCAGTGAGGCAATAAATAATAGCTTTTGAACTTTTAGGGTCTATATGAGAGGTAACCTGTGGTATACAGTTATATGCGATATGTGACTCGTAATTCTTGCAAAGTATGCTATATTAATTTCGTCCTGTTCTTTCGATCATTCGATCATGGACCGCATGGACATCCGAACCTCCGAACCCGTCGGCGGCTCCAAACCTCCGAACTCTGCCCGGAACGTCCTGGGGTTCCGGGCGACACAAATGACGGTGGAGACCATGTTGCCCAGGCAGGGGCCAATGCATGGGATGCAATCAGCTGCCACCTGCAGGGTCGCACTGGGATTTATCAGCGAGGCGTAAGCCACGGCTCTTCCAAGTGTATACACGAGGTGTCACACACCACCAGGTGACGGTCAGGCGAACGCAAGCCACGGGCGTTTGGCATGGACCAACAGCCTAGTTAAGAACTATACGAATCATATCATCATCCAACAAAGATCAACGTGTCATATGTCTAACAATTACCCCGGCATTAGACCCCAGATAGCAACTAACTGTAACTAACTGCGCATCTTTTCCTCCTGGCCCAGCCAGCCCGTGAGACAAGCGGGGAGACAAGGCAGCGGCGGCGCAGCAGTGGCAAGCCAAAACGGAATACGGGCACGCAGTCATGAAGTAAGAACCCCTATAGCTATCGCTATCAAAAACGAACAAGGATTGAAGGCTCCTTCCAAAAGACGGCCCACCGGCCTCAAGAGGACCCGCCAACAAACAGAAGGCGACCCAGGCGATGATCCAGCCCAAAAGCCTCGGCGACCCGGGGGACCCCAATGGATTGGGCACCGCCCGGGCCGCACACCTCTCTTCACTTCCGCTCGGCAGGTCGTAGGTTGGAGCCCATCGCTATGAGGTTCCTTAAGGTCTTTTTCTTAAAGATTCATTTTTCCCCAAACAGTTTACTGTTGGGGTTCTATCTTAGAAAGAAACGAATCGTTTTGAAGCTGTTTGGGGTCTATGCTTGACTTGTCTAATTTTTCTTTGGGGGTTTTTCGAATCCATCCGGCATCGGGTGCCTCTCTCCCTCGAAAGGATGGCTTTTTTGAGAGGGTATCGATGGAAGCCATCAACCAAGGTCACATCGGAGGAGCTCCGGAGATGTGGACGACGGTGGTTTCAACGAATCGAGTGGGGTTTCATCTGGAGTTCCATGAAAGAACATACAGTTTTGTATAACTCTTGATTCATAACCCCCCCCATATGAAGAGTTGTTCAATCCCAATGGGATGGCATGGGCTTATTCATCAAGTCTACCGAAAAAGGCCATCCCATACCCCCAGGTCCATCCCCACAGCTAGTCGGCCATCCCTTTTTCCTGTCTTTTGGAGCCTCTAGCTGAACGGTGGGGAACAGCGAACCACTAGCTGAAGCTTTTATTCGGACCTCAACTCCTCAACCTTAACTCCTAAACCCCTCAACTCCTCGTCCCAGAGGCCGCAGCAACCAGGTCCTGAGCGTCCGCGGAGCGTCCATTCGTCCGCGGCCGAGCGGGCGGTCCGCGAAACGAAGCCCCGACCCTTTGCCCCGGACCTGTCATGACATGGCAGTGCTTTCATACAAATGTCATACTTCTACCAGCACTACCTAGGGATCTCCATTGGACACCCCTTTGAAGGTCCAGGTATAAGGATCTTCTAGGCTTAGGGCCTTAGGGGCCTTCGAAACAAACACAAACAGAATGATATCCGGCATTTAGCAAATGAGGGTGACCCAACGAAGTGTCATATGTCAATTTTCCTCTTGGCTAACCTAGGTCTAGATGCTTTATTTCAATGTTCTTGGTCTACTTGTTCTTTCTTTTCTTCTAAACACTCTTTTTCTCACATGCGTCAAACCTGGGTGTTTCGAAGCGCCACGGCAACAGCAACCAACGACGCCTGGTCACACCATTGCCTTCCTTCGAACCGCCCACTGAGATCCCCCACATGCCACTGGACTCGGCCTCAGCCAGTCCGACGGACTCGTCGTCCCTCCGTGGAGACGATGTTCTGCTCTTGCACAACGAAGGATTGGAGAGCTGAAGCCGTACTTCGTGATTGGGGGGAATTTTTGAAGATTCTAGATGCTTAAGATCTATACGAATACGACTAGACACACTATAGTTTGATGGGACAACACATTGGGGAAGTGAACACCAAATTCGTTTCACGAAGACGAAGAAGGACCGCACTACGACGTTGGACCCTTGTTTTGCGATGACATGGTCTCACAGTCTCACATGCTTGGTATCAAAATGAAAATGGTGCGGAGTGCGGGCATGCTGCTCCGCCGCCGCTCAGCTCCGCGGAGCGGTATGGTGGTGGATGAAGAACCCCACTGTAAGCAGAATGGCTTTGTTTCATCAACCGTCTACAAGGACCAACATCAAATCTCAAACGGGTCGAAACAAATCACCAGCCCAGCGGGCCCAGCGCTTCGCTGGAAGCCAAAACCATTCTGCGAGACGAGTTGGTTGCGCACGCTCCGCACGCTCGATATGTTTTTCTCTCGAATCGATTCGTTGAGTGGATCTCCCGTCAGGAAGCTGGAAAAAGGTCACGTCTGTGCGCCGAAGCTACTTCGGGCCAATGCAAGTGTCCGAGTGTCCGCAGTGAAGATGAGAAGAGCAATTACATCTTGCATAAATATGGTGTGACACTGTGTTAAGTCAATTCCAATATGTCTATGGATTTCTATGGATTTCTACTACCAGTTGGTGGACAACGTCTCCACTCCCTCTTCCAGTCCATGAAAGGCACCCCCAAAACACCGTACACCGTGCGCTCGCGCTCGCATGGCAAGGCGCTCGCATGGCATCCCAAACCTTGCTGATCTCCATGGTGCCCATCCTGCAAGACATGTCGGTTGCGCGCCCAAACGAGGCGCGGCCACACAGCGGTCTCCCCGGCGGTGGCGGTCCTGCCTCTGGAGGAGCTTTGAAAAGTTCAAGTTCTCTGAACCTTTGGAACATACTCCCACAAGTTTGAACCACACTTCGCCTCTTGTGGCGAACCTTTGGAACATGATCGTTTCCTTTCTATTTCCTTTCGAGTTCTGCCATACTTCTGGGAGAGCTGAGCGGGCAGAACAACAGCTGTCCGACAGCACCTCGAACGGCCTCCAGACTCTTAAGACGAAGACCTATACACTAAGTGATCTGCTCACATGAAAAGCTCCTGCCTTCGTTTTAAACGAAGAACGAACCTCTACATTGACATTGTCAAATCGCTGATTGGGCTGCTGGTGCCCACTCAGTTCAGCGTTGATTCGACCCCCGAAACCGGCATACATGGAGTGTCTGGGAGAGAAACACCCTTGGGAAGGAGGAACCGTCCACTCCGACGTGAACCGACCGGTGAAGAAGTCCACTCGACCGGTCGAGGGTCCTCAAGTCTAGCAAGGTGTAGCCCGAGCAAAGCCAATCATCAGGAGCCACCCAGTTCTGCGAGAGGAGATGATGTTGGATTCTGAAGACATACATGTTTTAAGCTATATATGCAATATCAAAGAATATATGTCTATATTATATAACTATATATATATATAAAATATATAATATATACAGTATGTCATGATACTTCGTAGGAATTTCTGAACCTGACGTCATGTCCCCACAGGCCTGGTCACTTCATTCCAGAGTTGCTCGGTGTGTCTTGTAAACGCGGACAATTCATAGCACCTTCTAAACGTGTTTGGAGTGCAAGTCTCCAAGATTCTCCGTGCACCTTCTAAACGTTTGCCAAACATGAAAGGAGTCCCTTTCAAGAACTCTGAGTTTGAAACCTCGGGCCGCGCTCGTGGAAGGTCGGCACAGATATTCAGGTATTTATGGCCTAGATTGGGTGTAGTGATAGAATTCGACACCCCCTCCCCCTTGATTTCTATACTCGAAAGACCATCAACATGATCTGTTCCAGGACGTGTTCTTTCCTCGCTTTTCGATCAATCCTTCCTCCGTCCCAGCGTATGCCACCAGCAGTGAGAAATGGGCAGAATCCCATGACATCCCGTTTTCAGGCCTAAACCACATATAGGCAAACTAGTGCAAACTTCACAGGCTGGCTTCCCAGCTGTGGCCTGGATGGTGCCTCCAGAGTTCTCTCCAATCACTGTCACGGCCCTCAGTTGGGGATATCCAACGAGAGTCTCGGAGCCTACCGCAAAGAAACGTACATAAACACGTGCCTTTTCGAAACAAGTCGATGATCTTGATGACTTGACCCACCTGGAAAATTAAAACAATTTTAAAACATTGAACACGCAAGTGCATTTTTCCATATTTTGAACATGCTTTTGCTGTCATGTGTATGTGTGCACACCTTTCAAGACTTTGTCCCGACTTGAGAGTCGAAGGCCCGGCCCTGGGGCTCGGGCTCCTGGGATTCTTCCTGGGATTCTAAGGTCCAACCTTGTGTCTGCGATGCAGCCTGTTACTAGTACGACGATAGAATCCCCCGACCGCAAGGGCCCTTTAGGGCCCAAGTTAGGCCTTCAAGGAACCCGTTTCTTCCGCACGGAGCGCGAGAAGGCTGCCGCGCTCCAAAAAGATCGGGGGGGCCCCATATCTTGCATCCCCAAATCGACAGTGGCCACGGTTTCCAATTTTTACACCCTGGGAACCCCAGACCCACATTAAACCTCAGGTTCTGAAAACGACGCCAGTATTCGGAGTGAAAATCATCTTCCAGTCTGGTCCATGCCATCTGGTTCCATGTGGGTGTCTTCCCAGGTCTAGTGGGGTCTCTTATTTTTCTATGACAGGGGACGTGAAAAGCTCCAGCTCAGCTCCAAAAGAACACGTTCTTCTCAGCTCCGATTTCGGAAGGACGTGCACACAGCTTGCTTTTCGCTCAAAAAAACCATCCACTTAAAACAAAACAAACACAAAAACCATCAAAAATTGGTGAAGCCGCCCCTTCCATGCCCTTCCTTCTCAGCATCCTAATGTCCTGATCGGACCATCTTTTCTTCCCCCGAACCCCCCGAACCCTCGTTGAGAAAACGCCGAGGAGCGGATTGGACCAGTCAGTGCCGTAGAACTTCACCTTCATGTTCCCCAAACCACCCACCAGGCCATATTGATTAGTCTCATAGGTACTCCTTAGGAGATACCAAGCAGCGGCGCGAGAACACAGAAGCAAAGCATCGCTGCGCTGCAAGAACAGGGTGTGGACACCATGTCATTTAAATCCCGACAGTTGTTTTTCTTCGCTTGTTTTATAGACCTATAAAATGATTCTTCGATATGCTTCTGCAAAAAGAACCAATAGTTCAGTTTCCACCTTTGGCTGGAGGTAGATCACCCGCGAAAAGTTGATGTGTAGATGTTTCGGTGGGCCAAGCGAAACAACTCCAAGCATTAAATGATGTAACATCATTAAGTTATGTTTTTTCTTTTGTTTCTTCTTTTGACACGATGGAGAAAAGGGAACTCGATCTAAATAGCACTGAAGGATCACTTCGATCACTTAGTGGGTCGACCGGTCGACCAACTTGGAAGGCTTGGAGCCCTCGCATCGAAACCGGAGCAGAACGGACCGGATCTAGTCAATCTAGTCTAAACCTTTGTGATTCCTCCAAGGTATATGACGACCATGGTGGATTGGCAGCTGGCAATCTCTGCAAATCTAAGAGATGCAGAGATTGAATGGGAACTTTCTTGTACATTTTCGCAAGATGCTGGGCTTCACCGTCCGCTTTTGAGAGCTAAGACGAACTGAGCTTTCAGAACTGAGCTCCCGTCAAAGTAAAAAATGCACGCATGGAGTCCCGTATGCCAGCACCTGGAAGATGCATTAATTAAAGGAGGCCTCCCAGTAGGGAAACAAACGAAAACCGGTTGGGGGTTTCCATATCAAATTATGCACCCGTATTTTCTCCATGTCTGGTTCTATGTGACTTTCGGACAGGACACTTGAGTGGACTTCGGGACATGAAAGGCTGTGACCCTGAAAGATTCTGAAAGACCCGAATTAAAACACATGCAAAAACCAAAAGAAAGAACACACGCACACAGTTTAGATCTTGGCTCGCAAGAGCTGTATCAGTTGCGACATCCCGGAGAGCTATAGTTACTGATTACATTAGACCTTGGCTCGCAGGAACCGCAAGGTGGAGGGTCAGCTCACTTGTATTGTTTGCAACACAACGCATTAGCCCTTTACTGCATTAGCGCTTTACATAAATGAGGGTTACAATGTGATCAACAGTTCAACCAGAGAGAAATTGAAAAGTTGGTGCAGGTACACGATCAGACGTCTCTGATCGCTTCCCGTGACATCACTAGCTTCGTTGGCCAGCGTCGTGATGTCATGCGCTGGCCCCCTGCTCTGTACATTTGAGTTGGTGAATTAATAAAAGACTCTTGGGAATGAACATCGTGGTGTGGTCTAAATCTTTGGGAACACGAGTTGACGCATGAAAACACACATCCACATGCGAAACACCGCCCCTCCTTGAAGGTCTCGTGCCGCCATGAAAGCCGCCAACACACCGCGTTACCGTCCCACCGTCCCGGCCGAGCGGCCCCTCCGTGGTGGTCCAACCCGAAGGCGCGTTCCCCGAGATACGGGTGTCCAAAGGGATTTTCCGTATCAAGGCCCTTGGCTGAACAACGGTGCGACGGATGTGGACAAGGCCCTATGAGGGGCGCCATAATGATGGGTCTGGTCACCTCTTATTGGGGTGGGTCATAGAGTGTTGGAGACATGTGATGATGTGTGTAGCCCTTGGCGTCATAGGGAGCCCTAATCTTAAAGGTTCATGCAACCAACCCAACAAAGAGGCTTGCATTCAACACTGATGACTGGGTGAGGACGCTCACCGGCGTACCTGCTTGGATGCTTGGACGATCCGCTATCGGTTTCCTTCGGGTCACGTCCCTGACTTTCGAACAAGAGCTCGACCACCGCCTTTGTGGATCTGTTTGAGTCGGCTGTCACGAACTGAGATTGGGAGACTGGCCCGGGGACTGACTTTCGTAGCACGTGCGTAGTGCACGGAACCTCGAAATGGAGTCTAGATCTGGGAGGGTTTAGATCTGAATCCTTTTGGAGAAACACCCAAAGGTTCTTGACGCTGCTACTGGAACTGTAGACTTTGGGGCCGTTAGATTTTGGAGGAGCTGAATCTGGACCCTTCAACCGCACTTGAAGCTGGTGGGACATCTTTGGACTCGTTCTACCCAGGAACATGTTTCACCATCTCGGCGTTGGGGCAAATGGCATTCAAACAGTACGGCACACAGTTCGAACTTGACAGCGCACAGTCGTGTATTTTGGTGGGTCACATTGGATCTGGATTCCATGCTCTCCAAAAGGCTCTCCAAAATGGCTCTCCAAAGTGCTGTGATAGGCAGCCGATTGGTGCAACAATGGCATCTGATGCACCAGGTGATGCCAGTTGCGGCGTCGTCGATGCGATGCATTGCGATGCCGAGGCCCCCAAGCACCGGTGGTCACAAAGCTCTTTCTACCACATCTTCTGCCCCAGAATTTTGGGCCCTTGCCTTTGATCCTTTGGGTAATCCTTTATATCAATCATCTCGATTTCCACATGTCGCAAGTTGCTTGCGCTGCGGACATGGCACACTTGAAACAATGCCTTTGGGCACTGGACATCCGGATGACAGACCAAGGGAACTTCAACCTGTCGACACACGAACTCCGGCGCTTGATCCAATATTGAACCCCCCCAAAAACGGATCCCCCCAAATGGAACCCGGATCTCCCCGTCCACACGGAAGCCACCATTTGGGTGAGGACGGAACTCGCTCGCGAGGGGACGCCGCAAGGGGACACGCGACCTCTCATTCGGAAGATCCTCTGAGTCGTCCAAGTTCGGTACCTCTGAGCCGTCCGACGCTCAGCGCGCCGTCTGAGCTTCCAAGTGGCGCATTCAGCGTCCAGGCTTCCGCATAGACCGTGGGAGAATAGTAGGTCCCGGTGGGGGGCACCTCAGTGGCGGATGCCGTGTTCCCGCCGGTGGTTGTCTGGTGTCAAGAGACATTCATCTTGAAAACGGCATCAAAAAAATACACGTTCCCAACATGATCTTATTTTTTGGATACACGTTCCAAAAAGATACACGTTCATGAACTTTGCAAGTCCCAACATCTTATTGTGCTGATCTCTGGTTGAGCCTTATGCCAGCCATCCAAATCTTGACTAAAAAGAACGCTGGGCCATGTCTCATGTCTCAGGTCCGTGTTTTTGGGCAAACACCACATGGAAAATCAACAATATCGTATATATATATATTGAGAAGTTCATGTTTTTTTCCACTCATATGCGGAGTAAACCCAATCGATTTCGGAATGGATGAACACAAGATATACTTTATAAGTTTATAAGCGTAATTTTTTTCTGGGGGGGGGCAGGATTGGATCCGCCCTCGTGTGAAATTTTGACAGGCCTACCAAATCCCGGAAGCATGATAGTATCATATGGAAATTCGAGCTCGAAACTGACCAAAGGTGCCATCTCTTCCGAAGTTTTCTTCTGGGAAGTACTAAGTCATCTTCTGATCTTCCATGACCCTTGGAAGCAATCCGACACTTGAGCAGAATTGTGTTGTTTGTTGTTTTTTAATGGTATCATCATTGAAAGGTGCCGCCAAAGCTGGTGATGATCAGCTCACTTGAATTCCTTGAACACCGCGGCAGCCAAAACAGAACTTGGTCGAGACGGGTCTCGTGTGTCCACCGCGGCAGCTCATCCCAGGTTCGATTGGACCCTTTCAGCCGGGTGACGGCTGTGGGCCAGGCGGGATGCCTTGTCTGAACGGAGCGTTGGGTTGTGATGCCTCTGTTTCACACAGTGGAAAGGGGGTAGAAAACACTGGCGTGGTTTTGGGCGTGGGTTGAAGGGGGTGGAGTGGTCCGCACCTCTGAACAAAGTCTTTAAGAACATCTAAGACACTTGCTTCATCGAATTTCTATTCCTGCATTTGACATACTGTTCTATGGTCAAAAGGTCAGATCTTGGTGTTCTGAACGCTGACCATCTTTCGAAGGACTGTGGACAGGTCGGATTTGTGTTGAAGATTGCGAAATGTCCCAACCTCTGAAAAAATAAAGAATGAGAAAACTACCAGCATCCTCCAACAGGTGTTTCCTGGTGACAACAGGTATCCAGAAACCACCTGTTAGGGTCTCCAAACAGCCTGGCCAGGAGGTTCCTGGTATGACAAATACACTCCCGAAAACTAATGTGGACCCTGACGTCCTGGGCCCCTGCGATTGTTTTCCTCTACCAGGCAGTGGTGCTTTTCAGGGTCGGGATCGTCGACCCCAGGGTGTAGTTCATCCTTACGCGTGCGAGGATACTTCCATGATGGCACTCGTGTCGCTCCCGAACTACACCAACGACACCCGAACTCTTTTCCAAGGACGCGTTGAGTTCGTCACCCGAATGTGTCGAATCGAGTCCACCACAGATGACTCGATCCGCGCTTTTCCTTCAGACAATTCAGACAGCGGATCACCTTCCTCTATGCTTTAAATCCACCCCCGGTGCCCACCCATCCATCCCATCGACCGCGCCGGCTCGCACCGGCCACAGCTCCGGTGTTTTCATGCGCTGCTCCTTTTTGCGGCCGCGAAGATCGCGGCATCTCTCCAGCCCCTCGGCCGAGCTCGCCTGCGACGTTCCCAAAGGGCGAAGCCTCACTTCCCGTCGATGACGTTGTAGCCTTGTTCGGCGGGCCCCCACTCATCCCGCGAAAACTCACGACGACGACGACGAAGATGGGGACGACGTTCCCAGCAACCCTCCCTTGTCACAGATTAAATATCCTTGGGTCACAACTGCTGGCCATATTAGAGAGGTGAAATGGAACCGGACCATCCAAGAAGCCGTCTCAGTCCACCATTATGATACCAATACTACATAATATTCTATAAATATTATAAATACAGTAACTAAAAATGTATACACTATTCTGTGATATATCCAGCTTTTTCCAAGTGACCTTTCTGGAGCCCTCAAGAGACCCTTTCCATGCCATGAAGAGACCTCAAACCAGGAGTGCAATACAAAGTTGTTTCTCATTCATCTTCTGATTTGCGGAACGAGCATTGTCACCAGAAACTCACCGTAGGCCGTACCAAAAACCGCCCATGCTCGCCCAAGGTTTCGGCTGGAATTTCTCCTCCCAAATAGATCCACCGATTCTAAACTCGGGCGCCCGGCCCGGGCCGACGTGGACGTGGAAAGGGAACGGGTGATGAAAAAATGAGGGAGGTCAACAACCATATACAATATGGCTGCACCCAAAGAAGCAAATGTCAATGAAGCAATGTGATCACATCACTGGGTCTTTTTTGAAGATCTTAGCAACCATGCTCCAGTTTGTCCACGTGTTGTGGCTACACCGAGCCACACCGACCGGACCATGCACGTTTCTTCCCCATCGATCCGCACGACGGACACGCCCCGAACACCGGTGGCGATGCACCGTTCACCGAGGTGCCAGCGGCAGTGCAACTTGACCGTTTCAACCGTTGACGAGTGACAGGGTGGCAGTGAGTTGGTGGAGACTTCCACTGTCTTGGAGCCGCTGCATTTCAAGGTATACCACTCACTCAAAGGCTTCCAGCCTGAAACTCTCCGCGTGGCGCCCGAGGAGACGAAACGAATTTTGTTTTTTTGTCCACTTTTTTCCGCCGAACAGACACCGCGCGCGAGGCTGGGTGAATTTCAGAAGTTCATCATGTGACAAAAGCAAAGACGGAGTACCAACGAAGGAGTACAAGCACAAACCGAGACTTTTCTTTGTTTCTACAGTAGCGATAGCCTCCAACCCAAGCAACGCAACCTCTCCCAGCACCTTCCAACAGGTCTCCGAAATGGAGGGTTGGGAAAGGCCCTAACGCCCAGGTTTCAAATGGTGACCTGTGAAGTCGGTGCTGGTCAATGCGATCGACCCGTTTTACGATTTTCGGGTGACAACGACCCATGACTACTGACCTCGGTGAGATTCTGATGGCAGTTCATATGGCAGATCCGATGAGCCGATGACCAGATCCGGCTTCAAATGAGCCGCACTTAGATCCCAAACGCGACCTGTCTGGGACTGCCATATATGCCGATCAGTTGCGGGGTGGTTTTGGGGGTCAATGTAGGTATATATTCCATACATGGAGTGTCTGGGTAGTGATGACAAGTGATGACAAGTGACCGGAGTTTCGGGATGGTCGCTGACGCAGATGAGGCTTAACACACAACTGTGTGAGCCTGATCTTCAGCAAGAGTCCGTTGGTCACAGTGCTCTCACCCTGGCTACATGGCGACAAGGGATCAATCAAAAGAGTATCAAGATCACTAGGCATACTTTGTGTGCGTGAGGCTATAAACTTGGGCAAAAAAAACAACCACCAACATACCAACATACTAGGATACTTCGTTTCCCATTCACACACCAACACCCAACTTGGGCAAAAATAGAAAATGGCGCCAGCCAACGAACCGCCCTGCCTGCATGGAACTCAGTCTCCATGGCTCGTTCCCATTCCTTAAGGTGAGACATCCAGGGCTCAGCGGACGGGTGATAGGGCCTGATGGATGGTTTTAACATCAATGACGTGTGGATTGCTCTGATTTACTGTGTTCGAAAACAATAGAACATCAATGCATCACAATGAACATATGACCTTGGGAGTTTTGCTCGGTGATGTCCACACCCACACCTTTTGGCACCAGTCTCACACCAGTGAACTTGGAATGTGATGAGACTGGGGTGCACAGGTTTCATGATAGCAGGCACGTCTGATACGACGTCTGATCCTTTGGTTTACACCCTGAGAACGAACACTGTTTGCGCGTCTGAGCTTCTGAAAACACATGGCACATGGTCGGAACAGCATGAGCGACTGACCCTTGCGACTTCCCGTTGGGACATGCTTTTCCGTGCTTTGAGGGGCCAAGAGCCCAACGTGGAAAATATCTGGCATCCATATATCCATTCCAAAGGGAGGACTGCGGCAGAAAGGTCGACCATACTCTTCCGACCATCCGGTGTGAAAAGGAAAACTGATGTTGGTTGATTTTGTCCGTTTTACATGGCCATATATCAGCTGTTAGCAGGTTGCACCTATCAACATAGTGGGACCCACTAGTGCCAATTCGATCGGTGGGAGGTCTCAGCTAGATAGATCTTCCATTCTCTTGGCGGACCATGCTCGATGCGCAACTCTCTTGGCGGACGGACAGCCACTCCCCTGTGAATACCACTGGACATGTTCAACAGGAGCTCAGCTGAAATTACAACTATATAGCACATCAACAGGCGATTCAGAAAAGAAAACAGCCAGTGCTGGTGGCGAGCTTCTATATCTTCTATACCCAACTGAAACATACGAGTCATTTGGGAGTCATCAAGTATGTTGGAAACTCATCCACTTTTTGATCCATGCCAGACTTTAAGACCTGCTGCGGGGAACTGACACACCAACCCTCCCAAAGTCTTGGGAACATCAACGAGATGTTCACCCTCTTCCGAACACAAAAACACACCAACTCCTTATGTCACGGGGCGACCGAACCGAACGCGGCCACCGAACGCGTCCCCCCGTGCCGTTTTCAGGACCAGGCACTCGCACGCGCGGATCATCTCGGTACTGAGAACCTTCGGCCATGTCGCCAGCATCCTCGGCCATCTCCAAATACCTCGGAAGAGCTCGCGGAAGACGTGAGTCTGTGTGGGGAAGTTCGAAGCCAGGATTGGTGATATCATGTGAACAATCAAAGGTAGTGATGGTAGTGTTGGCAGTGATGGATGCAGAATCAAGACTAGTATGTCAAGTGGTTGTTTGGGGGGGCCTGCCTGAAATGTGGAGGGATATGACAAGTCAAGGAAACCACATCTTTCGACAAATCCAAACATATTACACATTCACAAATAGTTCATCCTTTGCCCACAAAGTGAGGTGCTCGGTCACCCAGAACAAACCCACCCTGCTAGGATCCACACACGAACTCCACGCAGGTTTCCACCATGCTGTCTTGATTCACACGGAAACCTTCTTGGCCAAAGCACATGTACAAGGCACAGTCATCGCTGGGATCTGACCAAATGGAGATCGTCTCCACCCCGACTTTTGCAAGGCCCTTCTCCACTTCCGGCCAAACGCCCTGCATTTGCAAAACAAACAACACAGCTCACTGCAAACACGTGCACCGTTGAGTACCCAATCTGTGTTTTGGACGTGTTTGGACACATTGTCGGAACCCGAAAGTATTTTTCAGTCTGGATGATGCCAGTCTGGATCCTGAATTTCACTGGGAAATCCATAGCCTTTGGACGCTTTTCCGTAGACAAAGAATGTATAGACTGACTCCCCCCCCAAATAGATAGAAGAGTAGATAGAACATGATAGAACAAAGATATCTACAAAAAGAGGTGGAAACCGTTCCTATCTATTTGGGGATCACGATACAAGTAGCCTTTGGTTCTAGGTGGCGTTTTGGACCCATTCTGGGTCGTTAAAAGACTGTCGCAGGCCACCCCCCCAGCCGAGGCGCATGTCAACAAGCCGATGACACGTCGCTCTGGGTCCAATGGCTTCCAACCTACTAATTGGCCTCCAACCTAAGAGCGATGGCCTCCAACCTAATAGTGATGGCCTCCACCAAACGATAGTGTCTTTTTCACTGATGACATTAGCATGCTGGGTGTGGGATGGGTCATTCTGTGTTCTCTTCTCCAGAAGGGTTGCTCTTCTCCTTCTCCAACTCCCGGGAATCGTCCAACCTGGTGGTGCCGCTTGTAGAGAGCCACTCGGTCCGGGCGCACCTGAATGAGCTGTTGAGGGGGACATGCCCCTAGGAAACAGCTCAGCGGCGTAGACGTAGACGGTTGATGAACAAACCACCCACATGGACATCGTAAACCATTCTGGTAGTGGACGCCGAAGACTCCTTGAGAGCGCCAAATCCCGCAAAAACTCTCGTCCTAGGAATGGGGATGTGGACCTCACACAGACCACACCGTTGGATAATGAGAAGCACAAATTATAGGTTTCAAGCAGCCGCAACCCTTTTTTTGTGCTTGTCCTTACAGATTCACAAAGCAAAGTCGAACTAGTCGGCTGCATAGACTCATGTCTTCTAGATTCAATCATTGTGGTGTTTGCTTGACACCTGTTTCGTTTGACCAATGAAGGCTACTTTGATGCTTCTTTGGTGAGGATGTCATCAACTTGCACATCGGCGAACCGAAAAAGCTTCTCACGATCAAAAAAAAGGATTCCTCGAGGAAAAGCAATGTGCACACTGGCCCGGGCAGGAACATTCTTGTAAAGCTTGGTGGCGGCCCCCCCAGGTTGTGCGGTTCTAGGCAACGAGGAGCTAGACCCTCTTATGCGGCTTTGATGAACAAATGCTTGGTGGCGATGCTGCTCTGGTACCGCAGACGGCCGCTAGTCCATGTGAGAACGAACTTCCAGCCTTCATATCCAGAGTTCCAAGAGTTGGCCGCCTCCAAAGAGTTGGCCCCGACGAAAGAACTGCCCGGTCTTTTCCAACCGAAGTGGTGGATGATCAACCACTAGTGGAGGAACTGCTCCAACACGTGAGGGTGACCAAAATGGCATCCTCGATGGTTCTTTTTCGTCTGAAACCGACAACAACCGCCGACAACAACCGCCCCACCTTGGCCATTTGCATCAATCGCTTTCTGGCTTTCTCCTGGCGAAGCCAAGTGCAAACAGTAATCACTTGAGGTCACCATGGTTCCTACATGGATAGGAATGGTTCTGCGCACGGCGCAACGGTTTGTCGTAAGATCTTGCCATGTCTTGACATGTATCAAACAGTGGGACACATCTACAGGCCATAAGGATGTATCAGGGAAAGACCTGAATCAATAGAGTTCAAACTTGTTGCACATGTGTTGATACCCATGGTGTGCCAGGAGACTAGGTACCCAGGATTTGCCCAACCTCCACCACCTCTCGCTTCCACTTACCTCGCTTCCACGCTGCCAAAAAACAAGTCGACTTGCAAGCAAGTCGACTTGCCGCGGTATCTATGATGAGACTTCATGATGCTTCTTCCAGGAGATGTATCTTAACCAACTACTGCATATTTATGGACTTTCTTCAACCCATCTGATCTTACAGGTTCATTTGAACGATCCCCATCGTTCTTGTCTCCCAAAAAGAGGATCCCAGCATGGATCCCTTCAACCCAATTCAAGACCTTCATAAACCCTTCAAGAACCCACTCACTCCCCCCAAAACACCCCACCCAACTGCCCTGCACCCCGCACCCTCCGCCTTTCGCCGCGCCCGTCGATTCGCCCACCAGGCACCGCAGCTGAAGCCCAGCAGTGCAGAGGTGATCGTGGCCGCGGCCAGGTGACGCCAGGGCGCTTCCGCCATGGGAGGGCCCACAAGAAAGGAGGGGAGTTCGCTTCGGAGAACAGTCTGGGTGACTGGGTGAAGGATGGGTGAAGGATACTAGATTTACTAGATTTGAAGAGGAAGGATGCGCAGTTCCTGCTGGGGAACTGTTGTTGTTTGCGGGAAAGCTCCTTGTCGTCGATCTGTTTGTTGCGCCTGTTGCAAGGGTGATGGACGAATTTTCAGGAGAGGGAAAATATGTGCGGAAATGAAGGAGATGAATCGAGTCATGGTCTTGGAATAGGCATTCATGCTGTGTTGTGACCGCTGGCTGCTGCAAAGCTGTTGTGCTAGGCAAAGCTGTCGACATAGTTGAGACCAGATCTTGATGCCGTGTTTTACTATTCCCAAACACTCCATGGGACTGCCGCCCCAGACAGACCCCAAGTCAACCACCCCTGGCCGTGAAACTCGACAGTCCGACCTGGCTGTCCCAAACACGTCGTGTCCGGGAGCCACCGCGGACCGGGTGGACTGACCAGCGCCCGCCCAGAAGCAAGATAGACTTGGGGGTGTCCTCTCTATTCATCAACCAAGCAGGGCCGTAGGTTGGGCCATCTGTGATTTGAGTGACCAAAAAGGACATGACCAGTTTTTGAAGATGGCTATGGACCGCTGATCAGCGCCGGGCTGCAAGCCCTGACAATCGTTGTCGGCTTTGCTGCGGTCGTGAAAGCGCATCGGATCCTTGCAAGAGGAAGCAGAGGTCCAGCCACGGCTGTGACCAAATGGAATGGAAGTGCCCCCTTAGAGGAGTCTCACCACCACCCCAAGGGTGGTGCTACTACACCCCCTATGACTGTGTATCTGATAAAATCCAATAATCCCCTGAAATGACCGGGGCTGTTCCATTCTATTCCCACAAAATCCCCACACATGGGAGTCTGATGGAGAAGTGCTAAGTGTTAAGGGCGCTTCAGCCAGGTTTGGCCAGAAAGCTCATGGCTGTTGACTTCGAATGGAATTTATGCAACCTCTGATTTAGAATGGTTTTGGCGGAAATAGCTCTCATGTTGCAGTCGATCTGGTGTGGGACCCAACAGGTTGCAGTTTGTACTATTGCCAAAGACTTGACGAATGCTTTGTTTGAGTCCTCTGCACAGCGAATCGAAGAACTCTAGCAACCCCAACTCAACAGCATCATTCCGTCCATGTCATGAAAAAGATTACAACACACATGCCAGGACCCTCCCAGTGACCAGTGTCTTCAGGATTGGTAAGTGACCTGAAATCAAGGCCTGGGAGTTGTGACCGACCCGCCGCATCTCAAGTTCGGTCACTGGGAAGGTCCTGGTGCGTGCAAGTAAGTAATCTCATACAACCAAGAGAGGTTAAGTGACCTGAACTAGGGCCTTACTGGGGTACCGAACTGGGATAGTCTATAGGGTTCTTCAACCTCTGTTGGAACTTGATTGAAAGATTCCAGTTAGGCCTTCCACCCCTGGTCTTGCTCTTCCTTCTGAGACAAGGAGTGTACACACTGAAAGAAACAACACCAGCAACACATTTCACCACCCCCAAGTGGCCCAGCCCAGCGGGTGGTGGATGAAAGGAAGCTTGTGACGCCGGTGCCGGTCGGCGGCTTCGGAGCGGAGCCCCCTTTCGGTTCCAAGATGCCACCCAAGTGGATCGCCACTGGCCTCGGGGGAAGGCAGTTGAAGGCAAGGATCCGGCACCTTACTACGCCTGCAGGATCCAGGTACAAGTACGGTACAAGTTAAGAACTGCGGCAGCATTCACTTCTAAGTCTATGACTTGAGATCGCGGGTGTGAGAGGAGCAAACTGTTCGCAAACTCGGCCGGCCCTGGCTGCTCTTGATCACTTAGGTTTAGGCAAATGACTAGACAAACCCGGATTGAAACGACTCACGTTTCGACCGGTGCGCATGTTTCGTTCTACGACCCGTTCTATGCTAGCGATCACGTGACAAAGAATGGCGACCGAGCGGAATGGATCTGGCCTACAACGACCTATAAGAAGACATAAAACAGAACCGCGCGAGCCCAACCCTCGGTGCGAACACGTTTCGGCACCATCCCCTCAGCCTCCCCCGGGTTGCGGTAGCGACCCTCGGAGGTCTCTCACCAACCCGACCGAGCGTCGGCGTGAACGGACCTCCAAACGCTTCGGGGAAGGCCACAGAAAGGTTGCCCCTCCTCTTCAGCTTTCGCACGCGGGGGTCCCGGAGATCAAACCCAAACACTCCATATTTACCATTCGGAAATGCACAGCCAAAGGCAGCGACTCGCGTGGCGACCCCCGGACCGTCCACCTCGTCCGGCAGCGACCCGCACGGTCGACGCGGAACGGCCGAAGCGAGCGGCGCTCGTAGTAGTAGTAGGTGGTGGTGCCCCCGCCGCCGCCGGAGTCTTTGCGACTCTCGGAGCGTTCGATGCACTGGAACATCTCCTGAAATGGGACAGAAACGGACAGACCATTCCCGACCATTCCCTGGTGCAGGTAGACCATCCATTCGGTTCATTTTGATGGGTTCAAGGTCTCCCAGTTTTCCACAAATCGCACGGTCTGGTGGATGCAGGACGTGCAAAACACATGGCTGCCCAACGGTCCAAAGCCTTCTGTTCGATCATCACAAAAATGGTTCATCAAAGCCTTCTGCAGTGGAAAATCCTTAAAACAATCCATGGTCGCTTGGTAAAAACCATTCTTACAACATATAATGATTGTTGGATGTGGTTGGAATCTCCAGTGACGCGGGGCGATGTCTGGTTTTGGGAGGATGGCATGTTGCATGTTCATGAATTGTCCTCGGCACCAGAAGGATGGGGTTCCATGGGACATCCATGCTGTGGCATGCTTTGTTAGGGTTCAACTGCGTGCTTTCATTCGTCTAACGTGTGGTGGAAAGCCAGTCTGGCCATAGATCTCACACCCCAAGTTCGCCACAATAGATCTGCAGATCTGCAATGCATCGACCCTCACCACCCTCTTGATGTGTTCTGAAATTCTGTGCCGGCGTGGTGAAGTGAAAGTGGCTTTTCGTGTCGTGAAGTTGCTTGAAAACACCGTCACGACACGAAACACTGGCTTTCGGTCGACTGAAACACGAGGTGCGGCCGGTGCGGCCGACGAAGCAGAAACACAAAGTCTGACCCTCAAGTCGACTCAGTCAGGCCCTCTGCTTTTGGACAGAACGGACTCTCTCGACACCTGGACTCTCTCTCTCGCTCTCTCTCATAGTAATTAATGTATTATCATGTCAGAAGGGGTGGCCATGGGGCCTGGGTTTTGGTTTTCCAAAATGCATCAGTGCCACAATCAAAACCAAAAAAACACTGATAAATATGCATAAAGGATAAAAACCAAAAAAAATAAAAAACCTTAAGAAAACAAAAAACAAAAAAGAACAATTCTGGGAGACTTTTGGCTGGACCCCCCAAAATCAGAAAAACCAAAAAACCAAAAAAAAACTTGGGAAAACCAAAAAAACCTAAAAAACCAATTCTCAGAGACTCTTGGCTGGACCCCCTTGTCCTCAAGACTTCCCCAGAATTGTTTTTTTGGTTTTTAAGGTTTTTTTGGTCTTCCCAAGTTTTTTTTGGTTTTCTGATTCTTCTGATTTTGGGGGGTCCAAGCAAGAGTCTCTCAGAATGTTTTTTTTGTTTTTTTGTTTTCTCAAGGTTTTTTGGTTTAGCATCTGAGCTTACTTCTCACCTCAAGGCATCTGTTCTTTTTGCTTACATCTGAAGCCGTCTGAGCTCAACACTTCCTTTGTCCTTGTCCAAATCTCCATATACAAGTCTGAGTGCATTAACTGCTGACTGGTATCAATGCGGTTGCCACTTGCATTTCCAAACAGCTTGACATGCAGTTGCGAGGACACTCTGTCCTTTACATGAAACGGTTGGAAATCTTTGCGAGCGTACTTCTGCGCTTGTAGCTCAAGCGTTTACATCTTATTCTGGCGAACTTCTAATTTTAATTTCAGTTCCTTTCTAATTTAACTCTCATCCAATTTCAATTAGGCTATAGTTATAGTTCAATACAAGTTTAGTTAAAATTCGGTTTTGATTCAGTTCTATCTTAGCTCTAACTCAAATCCAATTTAATTCTACCTAATTCTATTCTAGCTCTAGCCTATTTAGTTTAAGAAAACACATGCTACAAAACCCCGTGTTTTACAGTATTTTTTGCCCTGGAAGTGTTGGGAACAAGACTAAACCTCTTTTTTTGAAGTAAATAGTTAGATTTATTTATTGTCAGTAATCACTGGAGATAATATATACATATTAAACACGTTG